AGCTTTTTGCAGCTTATATTTTGACATTTACTCTCATTAATGATATTAAAGATTATGAAGTCTAATGCTGTTTGATGGCTCTGTGCCTGTTGGAACAAAAACTGAAGAATATTTTTATTAGTCACACCTGAGTAACTGTGGCCTAAAGAAGAAGTTTGATAAAAGGTGTTTTATCTAACAGTGAAGAACAGGAATCTGACCGTCACACGAATTGGAGAGAAACAAATCAATAACTGATGTGGGATAATCAATATGAAGTATCGTGATATTTCAGTGTATCAATACGTTCTTACTCCCCTGGTCAATACCCACACCCACTGGATGGTTTGGCTCTAAGGACAGACATGATGTGGTCCAGTCTCTCACTAATGGTCCCCTCTGGTTTTCCCCGTGACCTTTTAAACCCAACATGAGTGCAGGTCACACGCAGGCTGCCGTGATGTCACTCCAACCACAAACACACTTCCTGCTGGATCATCTTAACGGCTTGTGGTTGTTTGAGTCCTGCTCTGGTAAAATGTGGAACTCACCAGTGACCAATAAAAACATGTTCCTGAATGGATCTGTGGTCAGGTGGTGTCAACCTGGAGGAGTTTAAACCAACAGCACCTGTCTGACGTGGAGAGCTGCTGAAGCTGGAGCTGTGCTGCTGTTAAATAATCCATTTGGAACAATGACTCAACTGAATGGTACTGAAGTGGGTTGGTGTGGGTTACATAACAGCAACACCTTCAGGCCTCAGCCATTAGCAGCGGTCCCTCAGAATTTCACCGTGAGTCTCTGCAGCATGATTAACCATCAGACACGGTGACAAGAGACCGTCTTCAAATGACACTGTTGCTGTTTTTGACTTGACCAACTGAGTGTTACTGATGGAGAACTAGATTTATGTCTTACAGACTCTTTGCTCACCTTAACATTGACCAACATTTTGTTTTTCTTATTAGTCTAAGGCAAATGAAAAGACACACTGACATCACCCACACCAAGCTAAATAAACACATACATCAATGAAATAAAACAAATTGCAGAAGAATAACTGATTAAATTAAAGTTAGCAGGTCCAACTAGGTGTTCAGTTGACAACGTCTCTGTTCCACATACACTGAACGGAGTCCACATACGGAACACAAAGAAAACTGTTGTATTTACAAACAGATTGATCATTATTTTTCCTCACACTCCTCTCACATTTGCACAGATCATTTTCCTGACTCCCTGACCTCCAGACTCCTCCATCAGCACCACCCACGGACAAAGAGGAAAACTCACACCAGGCTAATTACATGGACAAGGCCGGTGACTCTCTCTCTGACTTTCTTTGACTGAGGAGACACTCTCGTTGGCTCTCTCTTCTCTTCTCTTCTCTTTCTTTCCTTCTGCCCTTCTCTTTTCTACTCCTGCACTGTCCTTTTCTCTGTGCTCTCCCGTTTCTTTGCTCCTCATGCTCCAGTTACCAGATCAAGGTAGCCCTGCACGACCATCCAGCTAGAACACACACACACACACACACTCACACACTCCCGACATCCAACACTCCTCCGCGGCTAAGAGGCCACAGGTACTGGAGTACAAAAGCTTTTAGATGGTGCATTGTTATTTCTGTGGGGTCAGCCATAGGTTAGAGACGGGTCTTAATTAGTTGACATAACTTATACATGATTACGCCTCTTAAGTTCCTCTGGCTCCAAACACACACACACACACTCAGACCTAAAGCCAAATAACAGACAGGGCATTTATCCTCTGTCTCCTCAGCACAATCCTCGCAACTGTGTCTCAAAAAGAGGAGCACCTTAGAAAAGAGTGGACACACACACACACAGCTAAGGGTCAGACTCCAAAGGTCAAAGGGGTCAAATGTAGGAAACCAAGGCAGGAACATTAGCCCTGGACGTCAGACGGAGAAAAAACATAATCAGAAGCAAAAGTCAGATTAACGATGAATGACAGCCAGGGTCAGCGCTCAGGTCAAATGTCAGGACCTATGTCCAGGAATCAAAAAGAAAGGACAGGAGGAGTAAATGTGTTTTAAAGTCCAGTCCCCTGTGTGTGACAGACTGGATTTTTTTTTTCTTTTTACATCCACCATTCACATACGAAGCCGATGATTAAATTATAATTATGTCATGAAATGTGTCATTTAGATTTTTGCCGTAAAACTATTGTTGTTGTGCAGCAGCAGTTCTTTAGCAGTTCAGATATTTGCAGCTGTCATCACTCTTTAGGTCCAGACATCTTCCTTCACATATTAAATCTATAACACGCCGTATCCTAACAGCTACGTCTCAGCTCAATTTTGCAATGTACACGCTGCTGACTGTAATTTACCAACCTGAATTACTCTCATAGTTATTGGAAAGCATTTTGCATTTGCAGCCACTGCACGAGACAGAATGGTTACAGCAAGTCGGATCAATGACCGGCCAATAAAGCAGACGCCACAGTCACAGGAATTAACATGCAAGTGTCTATAAACCATTCAGAAACATAAACCTAAACTGAAATCCGTTCTGCAACCGCAAGACATAAAAAATGACTGCCACCATTACCAGTCTATGTTGCACTTCCAGAAAGTTTAGATACACTCAGGATATGGTATTAATTTGTTTGGGAAATGCTTACTGCTCTGAGCTGTAATAGGACTCTAGGGAAGAGATGATTTCCAAGGCCAAACCATAAGGAAGCTGGGCAAGGCTGGACAAAAACAACTTAATGATGCTCTGGTAATGGAGCACAAGTGAAACACTTAGAAAGAGTGCTCGGTCTGGCAGGCCAAAACACACTTTGTACACAAATAGCAATATGTATGCAATACAAATGCAAATGTGAAAACCCAATATGTACTACAGACTGATGCAACAACAAATGCATGCCTAAAAAAAAACATTAACACAAGTAGTTTCTCTGGCGAGCGTTTTTTAAATGTGTTTTAATGTCTGAGATGTTTAACTGTAAGGACCATTCTGTGCTGAGTAGCTCACTGCACTGTGCACAAACACAACTGGATAAATGTTCCTCCACCACTGACAGTAACGGATCTAAATTATTTAAATAGAGAACATTTTTGTGCTACAACAGTGCTTCAAGAGAATCATAAATAAAATATCAAACCTATTTTCCAAAGAAAGCTTTTGGATTTTTGATGCAACTTAATTATTTTCTAAAAATAACAACTTAAATCATAACAAGAGAATATCAGCAGAATAGAAATCTATTTAAAATGCCATTCAGTATTTACAATTTAAAAACACGATAAACTAAAAGTTTTAGATTTTATTTTTAAACTTGCTGCATTCACAACGCCGGACTTCAAGCAGATCATTTGCGTGCTTCTTTTGCCCTCTACTGGCTATTAAACAGCATTACACGTTATAACATTAAACGTTAATATTTGTTTTAAATTATCCCACTGCCTAAATAAAACATATTTAATTGATAAAGTGATAAAAACACCGTGGTTCTTTTAAATAGTTTTAAACCGCATGCGAAACACCTGTGTGTGAAATTTTATATAATTTTATTTTTTAAAAAGTACCCAAAATATATGCTTTGAGTTTTTATTCTGGACAGGCAATGATAAAATATTTCGTATTTTTTAAACGTCGGTTAAGTTTAAATTAATAATTAATACATGAAAACATTAGGAATACACACATTTCACGGTTGCATTTTTTTTTAATTACTCAAACGTGACACCGGGAGAATACAAGTACGGCCTTATTAAGTGATACGGATGCTAAAGGCTAGATGCTAAAGGGCAGTTAGTTTAATTCCAAGAGTTTTCCTTTTTTTCTGGATGTGTAAATGTTGAGGAATAGTTTTGCGGGGTTACCGTTTTTAATGTAGTGGTCCGGGGGTTTGTCCTCAGACTTTGGCAGCTACTGTAAGAGTTCGATAGAGAGTTTTTTTAACTGTCACAAAATGGCGACGACCCTTACCTGTGTGGTGTCCGTCATTAAACGGGTGGCCACGCCCAGTCGCTCTACTTAACAAGCTACTTGGGTGAAAATAGTAACGTTCCCGAACATTCCAAGATGAAAAGTGTTATTCTGTTTTTCCAGAAACCAACTTGAATATAAAATGATGCTCTACAATGTTGAGCCTCTATCTATTCAACCTCTTTTATTATTGAATTAATTTATTTTATTTTATTTCTTTTTTAGTAATATCCCTCCGCCTGTTCAAACCACAGCATCACCGGCAGGACCGATAAACAGAATGTAGTTCCTATTTAACTGTAGGATTTAAACTCATTATTTTAGCACATATCGGATAAGTCAGCGTGGAGGAAGCTGCTTTAAGTTTACTTCAAGGATAACATATTTACAAGGAAAGCATTACAATTGCTAAAATAGCAAGAAATTTGTTCGATAATTAAAATTAGATTTACAATTGCTAAGAGTGAGCTAACGTTAGCATAAAGGAATAAAACAAGTAAAAACGTATAAAGTCAAATTAAGTTATATTTATATTTGTATTTAACATAAGAACTTAAATATGACAAAAGGAAAACAAATATATAAATATATATATAAAATGTAAGTGAATGTTGCTTGTTTAAAGTAGGTACATACAAAAAAGCAACACAAAGAGCATTTCAATCTGAAGTAAAACAGCTTTATTAGTGTACAATGGAATATGTTGTATGTATATGAAGAAGAAGAGTTGGAAAGCCTATGAAGATCATTATCAGTGTTTGAAGAAAAATTCTAACAACTTCTTGCCTAATGTAATATAATCTGTAGAAAAAAGAGAAAATTAAAACATGGTCAAAATAGGAGTAAAAACTATACAACACCACAAAATGTAGAAACTTTGTCCAACAAGACACCCCTTTGGAAATCCCATCAAAAATGTGGCTTTAATGGGAATAAACAATTGTCATCACAATAAGAAAAAGAGAACACAGCATGTGAGCCGAAAACAGGAATGTGAAGTATCACTCTGTGGAAATGCAGCCCACGTACGACCGCGGCCTAAACTAAATACCTAATTTTGAGAAGAGACGGTCAAGTGTTCAGGGCTGCAGTTGTGGGTCGCACAAAGAAAATACGATTTAAAAATGAAGGCTCAGAGCAAATCTCTGGTTCTACGTTCAACAGTACAACTTGCCACCAGGAAATAGGTGTCTACGTTTCCCAACAGGGAGATGAAGTCAAAATAATTGAAATCGCTGCATAGAACAAACAACTGGGTTAGCAATGATTTAGCAACTAGTCAGAGGAAACACTACATATTCAGTTTAGCAGGTTTGAACTGAGTTTGGCAAAAAAAAGTAAAAGCAAGCAGCAGAAAGAGAGAGAGTTGAGAAGATACACAGAGAGACAAACAATCGGCTGCTTTTTCTTTTCTTCTAGTTTCAGACAAAACAAAGCAGAGTTCAACCTGTACCAGGGTCACCAACATTTCTGGTCCTGGTCCTTCGTCACATAAACCTCCCTCTGGCCTTTGCCGTCACAGCAGACGTACACATTCAGATTGGATGGAAATGTGTTTACATGCATGTCACCACCCGTCGTCGGGCGGAGATGTCGGTCATTTACAGTACAACACCAAACCTGTGTGCATGTCAACACACCACTCGAAGTTAACAGCCAAACCTGTGTGCATGTCAACACACCACCCGAAGTTAACAGCGTGTGTGTGTGTGTGTACGCTGAAAACCAAGGAAATGAAAATGTAATGAAAACCAAATACATAGGAATTTAGTGTTTATATTAAGTGACTAAAGATGTGGGGTTCAATCACAGACCTGGCATTAAAAAAAAAAAAGTCATCGAAGACCTGGGACCAGGTCTGGTCCCTGGGACCAAGAACAGCTGGTTTCCAACGTGACTTGGTATGAATGGAATTCTACTGTTTAAATTTTAAGTTTCTGGTATGAATGGAATTCTACTGTTTAAAATTAAAGTTTCAATAATAATAATAATAATATGGTTAATTAGATTCTACAATTGATTTGTGTTCTCAACTGTTCATTATCTGAATTGACTTTAATGCCATTTAAATGAAAACAAAAGGTCAGCATAACGGGAGATGATGCAGTTGATTGACAGCTCCAACCAGACAGAAACTGTCCTGGTACAGGAGCCCAAGGTGTAGGAGACTTTTTTTTTGTATTCGTAGTAGTACTTAAATGTTCTAACTAAATTAACAGCACGTTCAGTGGAGGAGGATCTGAAACTGAAGGTCAAAGTAAAACTGACTTCCTCCTTCCCTACTTCCTGCCAAGCGTGCACAGTCTTTGCCCCGAGCTTCATGTTGCAACAACTGCTGCGATGGGAAACCTAGGTCCATTTTTAATACACATCACAGAGTCAACAAATACAATTCAACAAATACAATTGTCAAAGTCAGACTTTTAAAACAATGAACAATCTGAGCCACTTCTAGGAACAGGCTGGAGGATAATACTGTGTCACCTTCAGATCAAACCCCAGGATTTACTAACAACTAGTTTTGGATTTTACTTCACACTTAAGGTTATCTTTTATTTGTGATACCTGGGTTGTGGGACATCATGACGGTGCAGTACATACTGTCAACACCAAGTCTTTGGGACAGCACTATGATAATTTGGCTCACGTTGCAAGTGTTGACAAATATGTAATTGGGGGGGGGTTCTTCCAGGTGACAGATTCTAAAACAACAGCCACTCAGAGGATGTCACCCAGGTCGACTGACACATGCCGTGTCTTATGCTACATACTTCACATTCAATTCTTCGTCACCGAGCTATGATCGCTTCAAAGACAGGGCGCCTTCTAAAAAATATTGCGTTCTAATAAAAAGAAGGAAAGCTTTGAAGATTTTAAATATATTTATATATATATAAAAAAATACATGAAAATACAAAAATGTAGCTAAAAGAAAGGAGTAAAGAAAATAAGTGTGTTGTAAAAGTAGCTTGACAAATAGTTAAAGCTTAAATACTTTTGAGTTGAAAAGATTTGGACTCTAAAATACCCAGACAGGTATCGGCTGGTTTCTTTTTAATCAGGACAATATTCATATTCAAAAAAGAAAATCTAATAAATGCTCCGGACACTTTCATTGAGCCAATTTGGACAATCTGTAAGACAACATTTAATAGCGAATATCCTAAAACTATCTGATCATTTTCTTTCAATTTAAGTGGGCGTCGCGACATTCCTATCTGTACAATTCAAAGCATATCTGGCTGTATTTTACATAAAAGGCATCTTTATTATGGGGTTCATGATTGGGGGCAGTGCAAGTAAAGTACGGGGACATTTCTTTAAAGTCCAGCACACTAGCTGGACGTCTCCTATTCATTAACAGAATGTTAATGAAGGACAAAGGGTGCATCAGTCTGAGCATTTCATTTAGAGGGAAGTTTCATAAACACCTGGGCAACGTTAAGAGAAGATTTTGTCTGTTAAACAGCAGGGGGCGACAGTGAAGCTTATGACTCCTTGGCGTTTACCAAGTCCTGATTCTGATAATGCTGTTACTGGACTCCCCTTCATTTACATCATGATACAACTATAATGGAGAAAAATGTACAAGGAGCGAGAGAGAGAGAGAGAGCGAGAGAGAGAGCGAGAGAGAGCAGGTGCATGCAAGAGGGAAACTAAGTTAGTGCAGAAAATTTGGGACTGAAAAACAAGTGGAGCTCAAAGATGGGAGGCAACGACAACAAATGCGGCGCAAAATCTTCTGTGTGACCGTAACACACCGAGTCACAACGAACGCAAACCTTAACCCATTTTCTGCACGAGTTTCTCCGGTGGAGTCAACCAGAGAAACGACATCTGACATCAGGATGACCTTGGTGGAGAGGAGTTGTTAGTAACGACCCTGAACTTAACAACTCTTCCCGGCTTCTTTATGGTAATCACCTAAAATAGGAAGGCGTGAAAAAAAACATCAAGAAATAATGTCTTTGTCTCTTAAAACAAAAATGGCGTCAGATGTCACTAGAATGAGCCTCAGGTGGGGTTTCGCATTTGATTCCTGCCTGTAAATGAAAGTAGTGAAATTGGCAACAGCTCAAAGCTGCAGTGTGTGGAACAAGTTGGGTGAATTATTGAGTTTTCACCTTCAAATATATTCAAGACAACGACACTGAACGCTCTTCTGCTGAGAACTCCTGAAAGATCCAGATTCCAGTTATTTGTGCGTTCTTTGAAACAGATCACACATTAGAACTAAAACAAAGCGTCACACTTGTTTTTAGGTCTGACCCACTGCACTCTGGGTAGGAGAGCCCAACCGACATTCATCAAGAGGAGGGCAAACATCTCAGCTGTCTTCAAGAGAGAGCCTGGGCGTGGGTGAAGCTGTGTGCACACGTGAGCCTGTGATGACAGGCTGTGTCAGAGCTTCATTACAGACATCCACCGGTCACCACTCCAAGAGCTGAAGGCTGCTCCGTCAGGTCGGTGGTTACCATGGAGCAGCTTTGGAAGAGAAGCAAGAAAAGTGGAGATAAAAAGTGGACAGTGAGTTTGGTCACTGAGGAGTGGGTGTCCAGGCTTGAAGTGGACTTTGGTTGTAGCTGAGCCCGGAGTGGCAGTATTACAGCAGTCAACCTTCGAGTGAGTGGGTATAACAATGGTCACCATGTTTGTGCTGAGGCAGAGGCGGGCTGGTCATTAGACAGTTCCCAGAGGGTCATGTGTTCAATCCCCTCAGAGCCTCCATGAACCAGGATGATGAAGCCACGGATCGCTGTGATGCTGCAGTGGGATTTTTAGGCATGAGGTCCATGAAACTGGAATGTTGTGCCGACGGAGTCAGAGATAATCAGTGTGACATCACTGTAACATCCCACTGTTTCCATTTCTCAGGTCAGGCTCTCCTTCAGGTCCACTGTCCCACTGTGTTTTTTGTCTTTTCTTTCCTTTTTTTTGTATTTTTTTTGTTTGTTTTCGTTGTTTTAAAAATGATGTCCATACATCAGTCGTCTGTCACAACATACTGTCAACACGTTATAAAACGTCTCTGATTTTCTTCTGTGCTCTGACAGACTCCGTTTATGACATACTGGAGCAACGCACTGAGGGAGATCCCATCTGGGTCAGCACCTTATCCAACCACTGGAGGGGGCCGTTGAGGTGCAGCTCAATCCAACAGGGGGTGCTGGTTACTGTCTGACGCCTGGGGCAGAAATAAAGCAAGAGCAGATTGTTACAGAAATATTTATTATCAACTCTGACTGTGACACAGAATTAAATATATCTTTTTATTCAAATTATATATTTCACTACATGTGTTTTAATTTTGGGACCTAGATAACACTAACCCTGACACATACATCACTTCAGTTTAACTGAACATTTTTGTTCAACTCTAATGTTACTCACAAAAAATATAATTGTAGAATGATGTTTACAGCACTTCATCTTTTCAGATTTCTTCCACTCCCCCCTCCCCCGTGTCCCCCCCCCTCTGCAGTCCACCAAGCAGCAGGCCCATGACATAAGCTGGTGAGTCAGTGCTCAGGGCTGATGATACACTTGATTTGGTGAATGTCCAAACTATGATGTGACCAGTCCATGTCAGCTCAGCTACGTACAGTCCAGAATGTTATTTTTGCTCATCAAATGTGCGATGAAAAGAAACTAAAGAAACTACATTTTTTGGTCCTGAAAATGATCGAGCAACTGAGTCGAGTCAACTTGTTTTTTTTTTGAGCGAAGTGGCTTTGATTGTAGGTGTGAGTGAAATGACTGTGTTTATCTGCACACACCTGTACTCGGCTCCCCAGCCCTTGACAAAGCTCATCCTGATGGTGCACATCCTAGTTAGCTGGTAAACTGCCTCGAACCCCTGATTGACCGACTGGGCCAGCAGTGCAGCGAACTCTTGGTTGTTGAAAATCTTAAGATTGCACCCTGAAAAGAAAACAAAGTTAGTCATGAATTATTACATTTCATTTAGAAATAGATCAGTGACAAAGAGCCAACACCCCCCCTCTCCCCCCCTTAAACAAGTCTAATCAAGAAATAGATCAGTGACAAAGAGCCAACAGCCCCCCCCCCCTTTAAGAAAGTCTAATCAGCTGATCTTGAGTGAAGGTTGTTGCCAGATGTAATGGAATTCCCCTCTGACATTCTTAAAATAATGAAGGATATGGAGGTCACTGGAGCTTTGACCTTTGATATTGTCAGAAGTGACTGGTTCTGAGGAGACGTTTTTCTCTCTCTGACTACAGACCCTGAAAAGTCAGAAGTCTAAATGTTCACCAGATTATTTTGTTTCCTTTCTGCACAATTCTGTCCTCCAGTCACTGCAGCTTTGGCAAAAGCTGAAATATTTAAAGTTACACGGGTACAAATGAGTCAGCCTGCGTGGGTGAGCGAGGCTGAGACATTCTTGTCCTCCAAATCCACTCCTCGGTCAGGACTACTCTGGTCACAGCAGCCGTATGGACTGAACCTCAGCACAGACCTGGTGGTATCTTGCAGACCGTGGCAGGATGCCAGCCGTATCGCTGGTTGCAGTTAGGACTCTGGACAAAAATGGCACTGTCGCTGAGGCACTCGGCAAACACCTCCCCTCCGATGTAGTACAACCTCACACCGCGACCTGCAGGTGAGAGAAAAGGTCAGTAAAAGGGAAGTGCATTCCCTTGACAGACTTTAACCACCATCAACAACAATAAGTGTCAAATATTGAACAAAAAGACAACTTCTTATCTCAGCGAGCTTCTCACCTATATGTCTCCTTGTCATTTCAACAGTTGCGTTCCTGTTAACGTTGCTGAGAAGCCCGAGGCAAAAGCGTTCAGAATTGGAGGGGTCAGTGAAACCGTCCACGGTCAGAGACGGCTGCGAGGCGTGGAACGTCTCACCCACCCTCTGGTTCAGCTCGTAGTAGGCTATGGAGCACCAGAAAGCTGGTTCACTGTAGGTGACGGGCTGAAGATCTGCCGTTTAAAAAAAAAGTCAACAAAGTGAAAACACCGCTACATCTACGACTAAGACCTCCATGTGTTATATGTGTGTACACAGTATTTCTTACCCAGGCTGTGACTGACTGGTGACAGAGTACTTGGAGACATTTCTGCCGGCGAGCCTGTCATTAAATAAAGGACCGTCAGATTAACAAACGTCAGTGAAGTGGAACATCAGGATTCTTTATGGTTAATGTCTTGGCTGAACCACAACTCTCGTCTACCTGATTCCATACTTTGATTCATCTGTTGATCGCTGGTCTCTCCATCCTCACTGATGTAGCCAGGTGGAGGTGTCTCTGTACACACAAACAGAACCAAATGAACCGGTCATTATCAGTTGGTGACCGCAGCTGGATCTCAAAAAGAAAAGATTGTGTGGTCCCCACTTAAAAATAAAACTATCAGTAATTCTCCATCATTTATGACTGATTTTTACATCATTTTTTTATTCATTTTATTTGAGTGTCCAGCCCCCAGAGTGACAAATACTGCTGATGACCCCTGAAATCAAGGATCTAAATGCGAGTCAACACAAAGAAGCATCAACTATTTTTTTTTTTTATATATCTGCCTGTACCCACCTGGTATATAGTTGTTTGGTGGGTCTATTCCAGCAGGGAAGTTGGTGTTTTCAGGGATGGAGTTGGTAAAGTCATCCAGAGGTGGAAGCTCGGTCAGAATCTCTGTATGTCGTGGCACCAACACTGGCGGTAACACTTGACAGACGGGGAGAGAAAGGTGATTAAACTGTGTGCATCCACGTTTCCAGCCTCCTGTTTCCACAGACTCAGAGTAAGTCGTGCATGATTACCAGGTGTCTCCACTCGCTGGTAATGGTAGGGATTGACGCACACTTCGTCCTTCTTCAGGTTGAAGGCGTACTGGCAGGCGTCGATAGCCCTTAGCTCGTGGTGGCTGTGCAGGTCAGGCCATCTCCACAGACGGCAGTAGATGACGTGTGGCAGACCCTTACGGTGGGAAACCTGAAGACGTCCGTCCAGTGACCTGGAATAACGGACGCAGAGGCCGGCTCAGAGCGCAGACACTAATTAACACAAACGATCGGTCGCTCTTTATGAAAAGGGGGAATAATTCAATAAAAGTGAATCTGACGGCTCAGAATGTCAATGAATGACGACAATCATGAATCCATACAAACAGAAAGAATGACAGTCATGAAGTGGTGTGTATGATGTGGGTGTAATCACCTGCTGTGGTCAGGGTATCCATACATGCCTGCAGAGTCCCACTGCTCTATCGTATGACCTGAGCCTAGACCCCACAGATCTGAGCAATTGCTACAGACGCACACACACACACAACGACAACAAACACAGACATGCACAGACAAAAAGACAGGCACAAGACGAATGTGAAAAGGTTAAAAAAAAAAAGCAAACAGATGGTTAACATGAGATGTTTTCATTAACAATTAGTCAAATGAACTGACAAATGTCCTCTTATTGACATGAAGGTCGGTGGAAACACCTTCTCTCTACTCAGCTGTTCAATAAGAGGCCACGACCGGGTGTTTGGTGATCAAATGACAAATCAACTAATCCTCATTCTGACAGTGATGTGGTGCAGTCAGGGGGGGGGGGTTTGAACCAGCAAATGTACGGTGACACCAGGATTCAATAAACTCTGATTTCTAAAATGCTCCTACGATTGTTTGGCAAGGCATTAAAGAAAACCAAAAAGAAACTGTCCAGTAGCCTGACTGCACACATCAACTGAACCACACCTGTTTGAAACCCATTTGTGTGTCATCTCTAAAGCATGAGGAGTGTGAAGTCACAGCAACGATATGTGCATTTAGAACAATGGTGTGTCAACGAGGAAATGTAAAAAGAAAGAAGAGACAACACAACATGACAAAGGTGGATACAAATGTATCTAAGATAAAAACCAGGTAAACAGAGAACCATGGGAAACGAGAGAAACCCCCGACCCTGATGTTTAATCTTTCAGAAACATAAATAACAATAAACTGAGATTTAAACAAAACCCGTTTGTGTCAGTGTTGTCGACAGGGAAGGCTCTCTCAAAATGCCTTTCCAATTAACAATGCCTCTGTGGCTGCACACACATCCAACCACAGACTATAATGTTGAATTCTGGTTATTAAAACAAACGCTCACTTTACGTTTTATTCCAGATTTCTTCAATCATAACAAGAAGGCATAAAGTTATCAACTGTCAGAGTGAGTGTTATTTCTCTTCTTTCCCACCACTTGTTCTGACCAATCAGCTACAGCCGACCGTGGACCACAGACACAGATACAGTTGTACCGTCACCTGAGCCTGACGGACAGCAGTTTGACCAGAGTGGAGTCAGTTCCAGGCCCGTCTCCACCAGAGCTGCTTATCAGCCCACTCAAGGAGTTCTAGGGATAAAAGCTGGGAGTGTGTTCGTCTCTCCAGACCAGCTAATGTTGTGCCTTCTTCCTTTCCTACTTATAAAGGTCACAATACAATCAGTGCACTGTCTGCTCTCCTTCTGAGCACGGTCTCTGATATTTACTGAGCTGTAAATTAAAATGCCATTGTCAAATAAACTAATTATTTTCACAGCAGAGCCAATGAGAGCAGTGTTTTTAACCTTAACATTTCTCTGAGAACATTGAGGTTCACACTGGCTGCCCTATTCCTCTCTCACTTATCTTTAACCACCATCTGAACAGAAATCTATTGAAGCTCACACCTGCAGCTTCCTGACAGCTCTCCAGAAACCCTTCGAACATCCTCTGCAACCCAACACTGCTGAAAACAACGAGTGCTGAGCAGATTTATCTCAGATTTTCATCAACCTCGATTCTGTGTGTATAACGGGGAGTGAGTGATGCGTCAAAAATGCCTGTAATTGGATCTGCCAAAAACTGCTGAGTGCTTGCAAATAATACATCCACGCCCACGAGTGTTTCTCCAAGACCAAGGAACGCTGCAGCGTTTAGGCTGATGTCTAACATGAACCAAGCGCACCTTATCAGCAGCACTTCTAAAGATATTCAGCCGACATTCCTCAAAGCCAGGAGAAGGCCATCTGTCTCACATCTCCTTTTGTGCTCGTGCTCTTTATCAACTGGAGGACCATATGCAGGAGTTGAGTGTAAATTATCCTGCACTTTTCAGACACATTATCTGAGCTTCATGAGCCGCTCCAACATTTCTTCCAAACCTGCCATGTAGCACGTTACCCAACATGTACTAAATACTCTGCAGGTCATCACGTGACATGACAAAATTCACAGACGATGATGATTCCAGTCACTGACACATAAACCAATTAGGTCAGGACAGTTGTGTTGTTACAGATGCACTAATGGAATCCTGTCTATCCAGGTGTGTGTTTTATCAACCTGACAACAGGACATGTGAGGTATAAAGGACATGACTGAACTGTTATATAAATGTGTTATTTAGGGCTGTAGAACCATAACCACGTTATCTGATTAATCACCAGGCAGCTGTGGAACCTCAAACCAGATGGAATTAACATTTTAAAATGCAAAGAACTGAACTGAAAATTGAACTGAAAAATGCACTAGTCACTGTGCACCTTGGCTTAACTTGGTTAACGCTGCAGTCCTCGGTTGGTGTGACAACTCCTGTAGTCTGTGATTCCCATCAGACACGGTTGTAAAGAAAGCAATCCCTGTACTTTAATTGTAATACAAAAATCTGCTCAAACCAGTCTGTTTGTGTCACTTTATCTCTTCACAACCACAGTGTTGAGACTGAAAGCTGCCACAACCACAGTGTTGAGACTGAAAACTTGTTGTCACAACCACAGTGTTGAGACTGAAAACTGCGTTGTGTGTCCAATAGACTGCAGTCTGTCAAATGTAATGTAAAAGCTGAGTTATCTTATTAGACAAAGGGCAGGAGCTGCAACCAATTAATCTGCCTGACACTTCTTCAGCAACTTATCAGAACTCAGCACCACAACAAAAGCAACACGCCGTCAACGCCAGAAGACACGTTTTGTTGGCATCATATCCAGGACATCTGTTTCCTCCAATCAGGTTTCACTTCTACTGCCTTGGTAATCTGTGGCACGGCAGAAAAAGGAAGTGGACCCAATTTTTTGCACAATACAGACTTTTCTTTAGCAAACCAGCGGACGCATGTCAGCCCTTAGCCTACTTTCAGGCGTGTTGACACATCCCAACTCTTCATTGAAGATATTGTGGTACACCAGTGCGAAGAAGTAGCGGATGTGTGAGTGTGAACAAAGACCAAAGTGTTCTGAGAGGTTGACTCAGCCTCTAATTTTAACGACCAAAAACCCAGATAATTAATGGATGATTATCAAACTACAGAGCGTTTCCTGAACAAAACAAGAAGAAGTTCCAAAGCAAAAAGACAAACTAAGTGGCTGAGTGCACCTGTGTAAACTCACCTGGGTATAGTGACACACTTGGTGTTGCTGTTCTGTGTACTGATGGCCTTCTCCAGCTCATCCAGCTGCCCCGTCTTCTTCAGCTTCTTCACCAGGCTCTTCACTGCCTTTTCACACCACTTCTCCTCCTGACCACCTCCGTTCTGCTCCCCCACTCCTCCTATACCTCCTCCTGCTCCTCCAGTACCCGTCGGGGTCTTCTTCCATCCCAGGAGGCGCTTCACCACCGGGGGAGTGAAGGGAAGGATGGACGACATTGTGGTCTTTGTGTAGTTGTGTGTGTGTGTGTGTGATCTAAGTGTTGCGTTGGGAGGTAACACTGGTGTTTTTGACTGAAGTCCAACAAGAAAAACAAAGGTTATGTGAGTGTTTGTTCCTATAAATGCCTATTGTCTAAACTGTTTTCAGACATAAATCATGGACAGTCTCAGAGAAAAGGCTCAGAACTGGAGCGAGGTGAAGAACATCCAGAGATACCTGAGACACAGAGGGAAACAAACACAGCTGTAAGAAGAAGGAGAAGAACAGCATGATTGTTTACCCTTCATTCAGTTAGATATTTTCACCCACTTTGTATATTTTTAGCTGCTTTTTGTTAAAGGTCAGACATGTCTTAGTTGTACTTTAGTTTTTTAATTTTTTTTTGATTACTTGTACTTGTTAGTTAGTAAACTGCAATTATATTAAGTGACTTTCTTGCACATTTTTAAAGACCTCTAAAATAGTTTTGCTGTGTGACTACCATAATTAAAAGGCAGCAGCTCAAGGATAACACTCGGTCTAAATGTGTGGGATCTTAACTACTGATTGACGTGTCCATCAGCATTCACTTTATCTACGAGATGCTTAGGTCACAGGTCAAAGGGGAGGTACACGGAGATAAACTCTGACTTAAGCTCCAACAAAACAAACAACCTGGCCTTAAAAAGAGAGACGGGTCGACACATCTGAAGAAAGTTAAACATAAAGACACAAAAACATAGTTCCACTGACAAACACAAGTTAACTCCCAGGTTTAATTGTCTGTGTTTGCACTGGCGTCATTTCTTGCCATAAGACGGTGCTCGTCAGTGATGGTAACTGTGGAACAGTGTTGGTGGACTGACCTAAAATCCAGATCAATGAACCAGGTTATTTCCCCAGAGCTGATGGAACCAGGTGGAAAAAAAAATTCAACTGAGTCAAATGTGTATTTTTCTTCACCATGTGTGTGAGCACATGTGAAAACTACAGCCAAGGAAAGTTTAGTCTAAGTGAACAATAGACCTACGCCACTCTAAATCTCTCACTTTATGTTGAGATGTTTGAAAGACTCACAGTTGGAAATTACAGGTTTTTAATCATTTGGGAAAAAACTGCTGAGCTTCACTCTTTTGAGATATATCTGAGATACGAGACAAAGAAAATGTTTGATAATGTTTCAGTGAACCGTAGCTGTATATTTTTATACCAAGTTTCGATTGGTAAATCTTTTGTCAACCTTTAGTTTATTTATATTTCTTAGATGGAAATGTTCGATCTATCTATTTAGCTATATCTGATCTTTTTTCATTTCTGAAATATGGGCATATATCTAAATATTTTAAGATGGGGTTTTTGTTTTTTTGAGACCTTAAAAAACATTATATTTTCATTTTTAAGCAGGGTTTAAACTTGTTTGCTTTTTTAGCCTTTTTTTAGCCAAAACTCTGTAATCTCTTAGCAAGGTCTTTTTTTGTTTTGCTTTCCTCTAAAAAAAACTACTTGTTAACTTTGACACTTATTACACTATTTAACGCCATTTACCAGGGCCAACATTGACTAAGAATTGTGGAAGGATTTTGCAGTTTTATGTGTCAACTTAATTATTTTTCGTACGCAATGAAATATTTGTAATTTACTACATCTTTGACATAAAATTGAAATTAAAACACTCTCAGGGTCAATACGAAAAATATATTTTTCAACAAAAATATTAACACTTTCAGTAAACTCAGTGAAGTTACTAACATTTTCAGCCCATAAACTGAATATAGTTAATACAGGTTTAACATCTCAGTGTTATCGCAGTTAAAGCAAACACAACTAAGTCATCGGTTCTAGAAAGGTTAGCAGTTGTTGATTGGTTCCCTTAAAACATGTCACTTTAATTTTCAATTCTTGGTCAATGATCGCATCCATGCCATCACGCAATGCAAGTGTGTGTGTGTGTGTGTGTGTGTGTGTGTCAACTCACTGCCCTGTGGTGACGGTGGACAGATTTAAACAGCGTGAATTTTCATAATCTCCATGTCCGCTAACGTTTTCAACTAAATATACATTTGGTTTGTAAATAACAACACAACAGAAGGCGGCAGGAGCTCATCAATGACAAAGACTGACTCTTTCAAAGATGTAACTACATTTTCATGGACCAAAGGACAAACAGTGTCCGATTAAACCATTACAAACACGCGTTAACTGCAGCCATGTCTAATTCAAACTACACATTCTTTAAACTCTTGTTTCTTAATTCAATTCCTTTGTTTGTTCATTTAGCTTAAGAATGATATACGTACGAAAAACACATCATCATTGTATCTGAAGGATTTCTGAAAGCAAAAATCCCAAAATCTCCTCTTGAGTGGACGCCGTCAGAGTGAACAGAGAGAAACAAAAAAAGCACAAAACGTGCTGCTGATACGGCCACAATGCATATGTCTTCCCCAAAGGGCTGACCACGGCTATCAGGGCCTTGTGTGATAAACAATCAGCCCTGTTTTGTCTGAAACACCGTGTTCTTTTTGTCTTTGTTCGGTGATAAACTGTCTGTTTGGGTTACTTCTTCCACCGAAGCCATACAACATAATAACAAACACACGGTTCTGAAGAATAAGCTAACGCTACTAAGGGCGATTTAGACTTAAAACAGTCCATCAATGTGGTCTTTGACGTGCCACAAAAAGACACATGGTCTCACTGCTGGCTGACAGTAACTTAAATATTTAGATACGGTAAAAAATATTCGAGTTTCTTTTGTCTGAAAATGACTCTCCCTCCTCCCCTTAGCCTCCAAAAATCCGCTAGCAAGCCTTGCTACTTTATCACAGACAAATAAACAGCTCTGTTGCATGTTTCCTCGCTAGCAAATTAAAAGGCTTTTCGCCGATAAAACCACACTCACCACACCGAGAGGTGAAGGGACACTGACGGGTCACTCGTGTGCCTGTGACAAACGCCTGCTGGTTCATTATCAATGCGCGCACAGAGACTTTAAACTGTATTTTCCACATCCGAGGAGCCGGGGACGACGAAGATGATGATGATGGCCCCCTCATTCAAAGCTCAACCGAACTTGAACAGCAGCAAAACACCGAGCGGCAAAGTGACACTCTAATGGTGCCGCCCTTTTTATTATTCTACGTTTCTATTGGTTGACGTCATGGGGCCGCCCATAACCTGTTGCCAGGCAGTTTTTTTATTGGCTGTGATTCCTGTCAGTCTCGAGTCCTTGTGTACGGCGGTATGTCGGTGATGTTTGTCAGTGGCTACCTTGATTGTCCTTTCACAGTTGTGTAACGACGTCTCCAGCAAATGGAAAACAATAGAATGAGCAGAGAAACTCGTCGAAGGGATTTTAGCCCAATATATAAATACACATCTCACAATATTAACGCGCGTACATTATTTGCAAAAGGTTTATTTTTTTAATAAAATATTTCTTAAATAAATAGGCTCTGAATGCGGAATAAATTATATTAATATAAAGCAGACGTAGTTTATAAAGCAATTTGAGGAGAACACGTTATGTTTCATGGTTTCACATGGTTATATTTGTTATACTGAATATAAATATATCACGCATTTCAACTATGTATGAGATGTACTTTGAGAAAACACCTCACCACATAGTGGCAGTATCGCAGTTAAGGAATGTCTCGTTCAAACGAACAAAATAATAAATAAATAAAAGCAAAGGGACATATCTGTCTTCAGAACATCAGGAAGAAGTAGAGGCTTTTTTTCTGTCGTTCCTACCCATTTTTTTAGGTGGCATTTACTTTACACTTCACATTAATAATAGCATTTATATATTATGTATCACTTCACATTCCCAGATAAATAGATATGCATTTGGAGGTACACGAGCCATATGCTCCATTAGTCCAAAGTATGTATCTTAAATCACCACTTCCACACTTAGTATTCCCTAACTTCATTATTTATACTTACTTTTATTTAATTCTTTCTGCCTGTCACTGTCGCACAGATGAACAAAGACAAAATATTTATCATAAACAAATTACAGTTTTCAGACCAAACCCAATGATCTCCTGCCGAGTCCAGAAGGCCAAGGGAAGTGAACGATGGGAAACGGAAGAAGAAATAAAGAAAAGGATATTAATGCTGGAAGGAGAGACACTGTTGGATTTGTTGAATGAAGGTCCATTCATCACCTCTTGTCATCGTAAGGCAACAATTGCACACCTGCCGCCAGCCGTCACTGGCCGGTCGTATGTCATTTCACCACTTCATGCAAATAGGATGAATTGCACATGCACCACCCTCATGCAAAGCAAAACCTCAGAGCTGAACTCTCCTTAGTCTCTCTCTCTCTCTCTCTCTCCCTCTTTCTCTCTAAGAAAACACTGTTTTATTGAAGCTACTTCTCATGCGTTCATCAACTTGGGTTCTTCAGTTTTTAGAGTGTGATTTCCTCCACGACAACACAGGGTCTGGGGGAGGAGTCTGTCTGCACGGTGTTTACAGACTGCTCACCTGGGACCTGTTGCTCGGCTGCCAGTGTCACTGGGACTCCATCTGTGGAGGACTTGAATGATGCTGCTCCTTCTTCACAGTCATCGCTGCGAGCCTAAATGATGCTCCGCAGACCTGCCGGCTTACTGTCAGCCTACAAGCAAGCTGGATTTACAGACACAGTCAGAGAGAGGCAGCACGAGTCAGTGTGTCTTCTGCTTCATACTCACTCAATGAGAGGACTTCACTTACATGTGAGTACTGTTGATCTTTGTTCTCCTTTTTTGTCCTCTCAGAGACCTATAGAAGGGACTAGAACATCACCAGAACATCATCAGAACATGTGCTAGTCATAATTCCCATTCAAGTCTATGTGCTGCTGTCAAATGACTCACAGTATATTAAACAGAAAGTAAAGGGAGTAAAGAAATCGTTAACCACTAAACCCTAATTTGCCAACAGTTACTCAACTCATGTAGTTAAATAAACAGGTAGTTTATTGCTTTATTCCAGAGTAAAATGTTACAGCCTGTGTCTACAGGGGCTGTGTGCCTAGCAGCAGGTAGACAAGAGATGCTGCTGTGAATCTGTAGCCAAGAACAGATAATAACCCTCGCTGGACCATCACCAGGGAGACAGAACCTCCAGAGGGTTGACGGCAATGTTTGAAATCAAATAAACCGTTACTGCTGTTGCGTTAATCCGGCAAGAATGTTTGGAGGTTAGGGATTGTTTACCTTAAAAAAAATAATTTCTGATTTTTGTTTTTCATTATGTAGGTGTGTGTCTGATTTGTCCACTGCTGGCAATGGGCAGATGCTGCAAATGCAACGGGAGACTGCTGTGCATGTGCCTGCTGCCCTGCATGATGACCGGCCACCTTTTGATTTATATCATGGTGTCCATATTTGTCACCATCTCCTACACTCCTCCAAAGATAGTTAATCATTATGTCGCCCCAGGGACCTCTCCCAACTCCTCCACTCTGGCCTCTCACCCGCTCAGCCCTTTCTGGAACCTTCGTCTGGAGGACAGTGCGCTGTGGAACCAGTTGCAGCACGTTTGGGATCGTCAACACAACCCTGTGCTGCGAGGAAACACCACCGGGGTCAGGAGGACTGTGACAGACACTGAGGAAGAGTGCTTCTCTGATTGCACGTCACACAAGTGTTCAGTCCCTGGTTTGAGTGATTTCAACAGTCTGCCAGAACAAATGAGAACATTCATCCAGTCAATGCACTGCAGGGAGTATCCCCTCCTCATTAATCAGCCTGGTGTGTGTAGGAGGAACAGCAGTGATTTTGCTCTGGACACTCCCTTACTCCTCATGGCAATCAAATCACAAGTGGGAAACTTTGAAAACAGACAAGCCATTCGAGAAACGTGGGGACGCAGTGGTCTGGTGACGGGGAAATCAAGACTAGTGCGGACTGTGTTTCTACTTGGAAGACAGGACTCCAGCACAGGTCCTCACCCGGACCTGAAAAACCTACTGGATCTTGAGAACCAGAAATTTGGGGATATCCTGCAGTGGGATTTTAATGACACTTTCTTCAACCTGACGTTGAAGGACCTGCTGTTTTGGCAGTGGTTTGAGCAGTACTGCTCCACGGCCATATTTGTCTTTAAGGGCGATGACGATGTCTTCGTCCACACAGAGGTCCTTTTGAACTACCTGCACGCAAACTGGGAGGAGTACACCCGGTGGGCAGCCTACAGAAACGACAGTGGCCTGACTTTCATTGTGGGAGATGTGATCAGAAATGCCATGCCGAACCGTGAACCATCCACCAAATACTACATCCCAGAAAGTTTCTTTAAAGGCGTTTACCCACCGTACGCAGGTGGAGGAGGCGTGGTCTATTCTGGCTCACTCGCGTTACGACTCAAAGAGGTGTCCAAGAAGGTTCGCCTTTTCCCAATTGACGACGTGTATCTGGGCATGTGCCTCCACAGACTGGGGCTTTCTCCGAGCCACCACCCGGGATTTCTGACATTTGATTTGCCAGTACCAGACAGGGGAAATCCATGTGCTTACAGATCTGTTTTCCTGGTCCACAGACGGACTCCTAAGGAGATGCTGACCCTGTGGAAGCAGCTCCAGAACCTCCCTGGTCAATGCTGACTCTGCTCATTTGCCTGCCAAATGGAACTGACTATGAAAGGGAAGAACCACACTCCATGGAAAAATCAACATATCGTTTTAGGAGCAGGTGGCGCCGTATGACTGTACCACACACCGTACCTATATTATACACCACAGATACAACAACCTGGCTCATCTACCTCACAGGGTACTTTAACTTATGAAACCAGCCTTTACCCTTTGTGTTGCTGCCCTTTGAAGACATATTAACCTTAAACCTTAGCCACAGCTTCTGTGTTTGATTGTAAGTAAATAAAATCCGTTCTTGTTTCGTCAGTGTCTGCAGTTCTAGGTTGTTTCTAATCCTCTCTGCTCAGTGAAATCAACTGTACGTGACGACCTTTTGTTCAACAATTATAATGATATTTATTAGTGTTGATCTTGAACAATTGTTATTTTGCTGTTGTCGATGAAAATACCTGCTATTTAAAGTGAATAAATGAAGTAATAAAAGGTTGAATCAACATCCACTGACTCTATAGCTGTATACAATGATACAAGAGAGAACAGTCCAGTGTTGTCTGTATACTGAGGCCTGAACTCCATAAACAGTAAACATTCACACACCAACAATGTCCAGCATGTGTCTGTCTGCAGACATTAATAAAGCACTCACTACTTTGCATGTGGCTGGTCAAACAAATTTGGTGGAGGTGCTTTATTATTATTTATAAGTTCGACATGAAGTTATCGAGTGTTTCCATCAGAAGACTCAGTAAATTATTATTTTTCTGTTAAATGTAGGTATAATCATTTTAATCTGTTTAAAATAACAAGGTCGTCTTACTACAAACGTTATCAGGCTCTAATTAATGTTTTCAGTTGTCAAACATAGACAATAATTATTTATTGTCATGACGTTTTCTCCCTGGACGAATACTTTACATCCGTCTCAACAACTTGCACACTAGTGACACCTTGAGGTGAGATGCTGCCAATTCAGGAAGCCTCATGAAAGAACGGGAAAGTTCCAGCGATGGCGGGTGTGTGTAAACTAGGCTCCCCCCAGTGGCCGGTTGTGGTAATTACTCGAAGGTTCCTGAAGCCTCTGCTCCTCCTCCTGGTAGAATATAAAAGCTGAGACGGTCCCACAGCTGAGACACAAACCAAGACAGAGACAGAAGTGAACAGACACTTGAAGAGTGTTTCCTCTGACAACAAGAAGACTCAGCTCTAAACACACTCTGAACATGCTGTGCTCTCATGGACTCCACTCTCAGCTCAGTCCACTCATGGACTTCCACTGGACCGTGGGGCCACAGGTCAGACCTCTGCTCTACCAGCAGCATCTCCTGCACAGGAACCTTCAGGAGCTGTGCAGCAGTCTGGAGCTGATGGACAAACTTCAACAGCAGGACCTGGAGGACAAGAAGAAGAAGACGTCTGTCCAGAGCTGTCAGGCCCTGGAGACACCTTCCTACCAGCTGCAGAAAGACGGAGACAACGTTGGCCTGGTCCTGGACACACGAGGCTTTTCTCCAGCGGAGCTGACTGTCAGGCAGGTGGGCAGGAAGCTGAGGGTCAGCGGGAAGACGGAGAAGAAGCAGGAGGACGGGAAAGGCTCCTACTCTTACAGCCTGCAGGAGTTCAGACAGGAGTTTGATCTGCCTGAAGGACTGAACCCTGAAGACGTCACCTGCTGCCTGGCTCCAGACGGGAAACTCCACATCCAGGCAGCCAGAGCTCCATGTGAGGAGGCAGAGAGAGAGCTGACTATCAGGAGGAGCACGGAGGAGAAAGGGGAGCAGAGTGTGTCTTCACACACAGCAGAGTCACAGCAGCAGTAACTCAGACATCAGTCCTGGACCACAGTGAACATCTGGACTCATCAGTCTTGTTGTTCCAGTCGTACATTTATTTTCTCACACTGTTAAAAATCTGATCATAATAACATATTCATGTTTTTTCTCTGCTGTAAATTCACATATATTTTTGATATTGTTCACGTGCCATATTGCTCTCTTTTCTTTGTGGAAGCTTCTAACAAAGCCATTCTGTGCCTGAATTTTAAGTTCACCTTTATATAACTAAACCAAAAACATCTAGGCTTTTAGTAATACTAGTACTTGTTAGTATTGTTTAAGTCAATCAACAGCAGGTAGCACTTTTGTTCCTCCAGTTAATTTTTTTTACTACTTGTGGGACATTTTGCACAGCTCTGAGTACAAGCCTTATTATTAAGCTGGTGAGCAAAAAGTATGTTTACTTCATTGTTGTATTACCTTAAATTCATGTTAATAAAAGTATTTAACACACAGTTTAAACAGACTCTAAAACCAGTCTGGACGAACAGAGAAATATCCCATCGTAGTCAGAACAGTGCTCTAAAAAGACTAATATTAATATCCGTCATTGGTCTACTTGCCTGACCATCGTACAACAATGTTGTGTTTCAAAAACAAAATACTTAAAAGGAAAATAAAAACTCATGATGCAAAATCAAAGTTAACAGTTTATTTTGGGAATCACACAAAGTTGCAAAAGTTTTTTTTTTCTTCATCCGTTGTTGCACAAGAATAAAACAGTTGTATTTTCCATAGTTATCATCTCATCTTTGTGCAGGCTCCATTCAAATTAGCATAACTATCGTTAGTTTGGCAAATGTTACACTTACATGTAAGACAGCTTAACTCCTCAGTCAGTCTCAACTGACTTTACCAAATTATAGCATACCATGGGTAAGCAGTGTCACAAAACAAGATGGATCCTTATCTGGTTTTGTAAACTGTACCCAGAGTACACAACACAGAATCCAGGGCTGAATTATTCCATGACAAAAGAAGGTGAAGGTGAAAAACCTCACCTTGAGTCGACTCAGTTTAACCTTCTGTCATGTGAACCAGCTAAGATAATCCTGATCCACCACAGCATGGAATGGTGGATGAAATCTTTAGACATTATACATCAATACAAAGTAGAAAAGGATATAAAAAATAATAAAATAAAAAACAATAAATCACACTGAGCAAGCATTTTAGCGACAGTGGGGAGAAAAAACTCCCTTTTTCAGGAAGAAATCTCCAGCAGATCCAGGCTCAGTGTTGCCGTCTGCCTCGGCAAAGAAAACAGGAGTAAACATACACTACACACTGCCATGCATGTAGCAAACAGGCTACATGCATGGCATTCACAATGTTCAGACCTTTACTTTTAACACAACAACTCTGAATTGAGCCCACACACAGTTGCATTGTACACATTTGTGGTTGGAATGTATTTTAAGACAATGATGATTGTTGTTTTAACACCACAATCAAAAGTGTTTGGTTGTCACTCTTCCTGGTTTGCTTCCCTCTAAAGAGCATTAACGCGCACCTAAATCTTTACCCTACTTCCTAAACTGTTAAAATGTCCCTGCCTCTACGTATCAATGTATTGCCAAGGGTATTTGGTTACAAATTCCCTGGACGGGAGGCCTCCCATTGTATCACGCAACATTTAAATATTTACCTAGAACCTTTAGAAGGAACTAACCACGTCAGAGTGAAACCAATCATCTTTAAATAGAGTTTGTGTTGGTTCAACCGAAAACTGATTCATCAACTTAATGCCTAGTTGATTTTTTAGAATTGTTTTGTGCATCTTGGCTGCAGTTGTGGTCTATAGGCTCCAACTTCTAATAAAAGAAAACAATTATGCAATGGATAAAAAAAAAATAGAATCAAAAAAAAAAAAAAGAAAATCAGTCAAAATATGGATTAAATTACCTAGGGACCAACATCTTAACAAAAGCCATAATATGAAAACAACAGAGTTGAATATCTGAAAAAAGGCTGAACCTGAAGACATCCTGTCACAAGGACAGGATTTGTCCAAGTCCTTTAGGAAAAAGAAAACAAAAAGCCTAAAGCTGAAGACATCCTGTAGCAGCGACATCATCGTAGAAGATTGGGGTCACTGGAGCCTCTGTTGTCCTCATCTCCACCATCCACATTCCGCATGTTTGGTGAGCTCCAGTCCACAGGCTTGAACATCAACATCTTTAACACAGCCAGAGTTTTCTAGAAGAAAAGGCACCACTGACTAAGCATGAGTTAGCATTTTAGAGTCATTACCTAACATTTTCAGTGTTACGAAAGATTTGGTTTAGCTTGGCCAATGGAAAATAATTTGTTCAGCCACGGTTCATAAGCTCTCAAACTTTAGCAAAGGATGCATAGAAATAATGTAACAAGTGTGGAAGAAAAATTATAAAATTATTAATTTCACAACCAGAAGAAACAACAAATCAGACAAACCTGATGATGGCCAGTCATCACTGTAGATAGTCGGATCAGTCGGGCTACTGTTGTCCTCACTTCAGCTGTTCATCTCTTACTGCACTCTGGTGAGCTCCAGTCCATGGGTTCCTTAACAGAACAGTCATTAACAGTCACTGAAACAGAAGCAAAGTAACATTGTTTATGTACCTGGTAAAGTTTGAAAATGAATACCTCACATCCTCAGAGGATTTAGTTCAACTAAGTTGTATCCGTTCTTCTACACTTCCAAGAGAGTGTCCCCCAAATGAAATCCCAGAAGGTTTGTGGTTGAGTCTTCTTGGTGCATTCAGGTAAGGGGGAGTTGTTTATTTAGCCTTGGATATTAACAAAGCCACGCCTTCAGTCCGGTCAATGCCCATAGAAGTTTGCTCCTTTTCACACACTCCACAGTTGCTTCAGTCACTCTCTGCCATTTATATCCTCAACATTACCTTTGCAAGGAAAGCAAAGATGCTGGAATTCCTCAGCCACAAACAGTATTAGCTCTCTTCATGAAGTCCATAATTTCCAAAATAAGGTAGTGTCCTCCAGTCCTAGTGGTGTCCAAAAAACAACTTCAAGATTGCTCCTTTCAGCCTCTTGTACCGTTGATTCTGGGTTGCTCCTGCCATTTGTGTCCTCTGCAGTATTACCACCAATGTTTGCATCCTTTGTTATCGTAACCACAAATAGAACAAAGCCAAGTCCTGTCACTGCACATTAAAAAATAAGATTCCTCATTTTACCCAGGTCCAACATTTCTCCAACCATGTATTCACTCCACCAATGTTTGCATCCTTTGTTATCGTTTGTTATCCTGGTCCAACATTTCTCCAACCATGTATTCACTCTTGATTAGTTCTCAAAAGAACAGGGATGCTGGAATTCCTGAGCCAGAAACATTGTGGACTTTCTCCATCCAGCTGAATATGTCCAACATCAGCTAATGTCCTATTAAGGCCCAAAAACAACTTCAAGATTGGTCTTTTACTCAAGTCCATTGTTGTTTGTTAGTTGTTTCCTCCCTCCATTACTGCATCTCTCAAAAGACAAGAATGTTGGGCTTCCTCAGACAAAATGTAGAACCTCTTCATTAATTCTGTGCACAGTCAGATAGTTGAAGACATTTTTTCCTCCAAATCCTGACATAAACAGCACTTCAAAATACAAGAAAGTCCTTTTGGATTTGTCAAGTAACGTTTCCTCCCGTATGCCCAAAAGTGCAAATCCACCAGTTTTGGCATCCATTTGTAAACATAACCATGAATAAAACAAAGCCATGCCTCCAGGTCCTGTCGATGCTTCCAAAAAAGCATGCTTCCAAGATTGATGTCCACGGTTGCTTGTTAGTTGCTCCTGCAAGTTCTTCCCTCCACATTCTCACAAGGGACAACAAGAAAGAGTTTGTTGAAGATGGTGGTTTCTACAGCAAATCCTGATTTAAGCAGCATTCCAAAATACAAGAAGGTCCCTTTGATTCTGTCAAGTAACTTTTCCTCCTGCAGGCCCAACAGTGTACGTCCTATCACCAGTTGTGGCATCCGTTTCTTGATTTAAGAGCCGAGACTCTGTTATTTCAATGTTGCTTCTCAGGAAGTGTCCCTTCAGTCTCATTATTGGAAAAAGAAAATACGCTTCAAGGGTGCTTGCTTTTACCTGAGTCCATCATTACTTGTCAGTTGTTTTTGCCATTTCTTCCTCCATGAACATTATAGGGACATCAAGCTGGGCTTACTGAGCCACAATCATCGTAGGATCTCATCCAAGTAGTTACATCAAGGGCAACTGGACTGGTGCATTTCTCGGAAGATGTTTCACCTCTCATCCAAGAGGCTTCCCCAGTTCTAACTAACTGCTGGGAAGTTTCTGGTGTTTGATCTCGGAGAGACTAAACATCTGAAAGCGAGGGTCGTTGGAGAGAACAAAGGAGATGCCCACAGCCAACACCAAGGGGGGAAATGTTGTGATTACGACGGTTAAAGTATGGGTTGTGGATCATTAGAGCCCAACAGGACATCGGGATCACCTGCTGAGCAAACGTCGCCGTGTACCCCCTGGAGTCTGTCTGCGTAAGCATCAGGAAGAGGTTCGGGTTTTCTGGGGAGAGAACTCAGAACAACATTGTAGGTGGATTAGAGGTTGTGTCTTAATCTGCCTCCTCTGTTGAGTGGTGGTTTCCCCAGGTTGACACAGATGGCTTCCTTCACTCCTCCTTCAAACCATCTGTCTTCTCTGGTGGGAATATGTACATTCACGTCCTCAAAAGTACGTCTTTTGTCCTTGATGTGGACAAACTGCTGAATATGAATTGAATAGCTTAGGCAAATCATTAAGGTTTGCCCTTTTAATGGGGTATCATTGCATTTACAATGTCCCCAGGTCTTTTAAAGGCTGAAATCTCTAGAAATCAGCCCACAGCAAATGCATCACAAGTTTGTGATAAGCAAATGGGGATTTTAACTGAATCCATACTTTGTAGTTATCACTCTTTCTTGTTTGTCTCCCTCTAAAGAGCTTTGACGCAAAACTGGAAAAATCACCCTAGTCTCTCTTCAGGACAACTTAATTATAAATATCCCTGCCTCTATTGTACGTATGATGTGCTGTGCTTTGCAGAGGGGATTTGGTTACAAATTCCCTTGCTGGGAGGCCTCCCATTATGTCATGCAAAAATAATGTTAAAATGTTAAGCCTTTAGAAGAAAGCAAACAAGTCAGAGTTTTAATCTAAAACAAAATGCCACACCAGAAACAGAACCATGTGGTTCAATACATGAAACAGCATAGGAGAGCCGCTTCATCAGGCCAGGACTCAGTGTTCATCTACATCTTAAGGACAGGGACACACTCGAGGATGGGAGTGTACACGTCCTTGCCGGAGAAGACAGATGGTTTGAAAGAGGAGTAAAGGAGGCCATCTATGTCAACTTGGAGAAACCACCACTCAATGGAGGAGGCAGATTAGGACACAGCCTCTAACCCACCTACAATGTTGTCCTGAGTTATCTCTCCAGAAAACTCAAACCTCTCCCAGATACCAACGCAGACAGACCCCAAGGGGCACATAGCCACATTTGCCCCTCAGGTGTTACCAATGCCCTATTGGGCTCAAACAACCCTCAATCCACACTTCAACCCCTGTGACCCCAACATTCCCCCCTTTGGTGTTTAGCTGTGGTCACCTCCTTTGTTCTCTCCACCGACCCTCACTTTCAGATGTTCAGCCTCTCCGAGGTCAAACACCAGCAACTTCCCAGCAGTTAGTTAGAACTGACAAAGCCTCTTGGATGAAAAGTGAAACGTCTTCAGAAAAACCTACCACTCCAAGTGGCCTTTAATGTAACTATTATCGATAAGATGACCTGGATGACTAGAGAACCTAAACATCTCTTCATCCATTCTCCAAAAGTCTCCAAAATCGGAAAGTTGAAGAAAGTGGGTTGTACTCCAAAATCCTCATATAAGCAGCATTTCAAAATACAAGAGCTCATTCTACCCAGGTCCACTGTTGCTTCCCAGTTGCTCCTGCCGTTAATTCACCCTCCATTAGTTCTTAGGGGAACAAGCACACTGAAATTTCTGAGCCAAAAACATTGTGGGCTTTCTTCATCTGGTCCAAAGTGTCTAATATCAGGTAGCGTCCTCCAGTCCAATTATGGCCCAAAAAAACAACTTCATGATTGTTTCTTTCACCCAAGTCCACCGTTGCTTGTCAGTTCTTGCAATTTCTTCTGCCCATTATGTTTCAAGGAACAACAAGAATGCTAGGCTTACCAAGCCACAATAACTGTAGCAGCTCTTCATCCAGTCCACAGATTCCAAGATCAGTTGTTGAAGGTGGTGGGGGTTTTTTTTCCCTCCAACCCAAATCCTGATAAGCAGTGTATGTGTCCTACCACCAGTGGTGGCATGGTTCGTGGTTAATTTCACCATGGATAAAACAAAGACCAAACCTCCAGATCAAAGTCAAAGCCCAGGAAACTGAGGCTTTGACTTTTACCCAAATCTACCGTTGCTTGTTAGTTGCTCCTGCAATTTCTTCCCTCCATCATCTCTCCAGGTACAACAACAACGGTGGACTTTCCGAGGCACAATCTTTGCAGGAACTCTTCATTCCATAGTCTAAGATCAGTTGAAAATGTTTGTTTTATCCACGAATCCTGATATTAGCAGCACGCATAGTACCTAAGGTCAAGTAATAACCTTAAGATTGTTCCTTTTACCCAAGTCCACTGTTGCTTGCTGCTGAACAAATCTTGCACAGATGGACCAGGTTGTCTTCAATCATCCAACCCCAATCACAAGATCCTCTCGTCCTAGACCATTGGCAGTTTTAGAATTTCCAATGTTGTTCATCTTTGTTCCTGTTTTGATGCTGTCCAGCTGTCTCTTTTCCATCCACAGGGGGAGCACCCAGCTTTTAAATGAGTCAAAGGTCGAGTTCTGAGCAGACCAGAAGGCAAACTTGAACTTTTGGAGCTGCCCAGGGCAGACATCTATGACATGTAGCTAATCAATGTCGAATGGTATTTAACCAAACGCTATGTCAAACAAATACTTCAATATATAATATAACAAATACTGAAATATTATAAAGTTGTATATGAACAGCTTGAGCAAATCTTCAAGGTTTGTCTTTTTAATGGGGTATCATTGCATTTACAATGTCCCCAGGTCTTTTAAAGGCTGAAATCTCTAGAAATCAGCCCACAGCAATGAATTGAATAGCTTAGGCAAATCATTAAGGTTTGCCTTTTTAATGGGGTATCATTGCATTTACAATGTCCCCAAGTCTTTTAAAGGCTGAAACCTCTAGAAATCAGCCCACAGCAAATGCATCACAAGTTTGTGATAAGCAAGTCATCAAATTATTTTTAGGCATTTTAACTGAACCCATACTGTATAGTCATCACTCTCGTTTGTCTCCCTCTAAAGAGCTTTGACGCAACAACTGCAAACTTTACCCTAGTCTCTAAATTCGGACAACTTAATTATAAATATCCCTGCCTCTAATGTGCGTATGATGTGCTGTGATTTGCAGAGGGGATTTGGTTACAAATCCACTGGTGGGAGGCCTCCCTTTATGTTATGCAAAAAAAAAAGTGTTAAAATGTTAAATATTTAGCCTTTAGAAGGAACCAAACATGTCAGAGTGAAAATAACCTTAAATAAATAAATCTTAAATGCCAAAAGGAATATGAAGTAATTCCCCTTATTTTATTAATGTTAGGCTCTGATAGATGTGATTTCATTTAGCTGAAATCAAATAACTATGCAACATTATTAATTAATAATATTAGTGGGACAAAAGAGGCCAATAAGAAATATTTCATGAAGTTCCTATCTCCTGGGAGTTCAAGTTCCCTTTTTGCTGCTAACAACCATGACTCATTGAAGAATGGGGTTCCACTTGACCTCGAAAGGTTTCTTGTGGGATCTGGCAGCCAGTCATTATTAGTCCTTTGATCTTGCAAACTTAGACGTCCATGGTTCCTACATGTTTGTCAAGGTCATGCCAACGATGCTCCATTAGATTGAGATTTACCAGCTTGAATGTGTATTCCTCAAACTACTTCCAACCATTTTCACTTCATGACTGGGCACATCATCCTGCCTAAAAAGGTCCCATGCCATTAAGGGGTACGACTTCAGAGAGAGGGTCTACCTGGTTTGCACTTAAGCTCAGTTGTTGGAAACACAAGATGGCAAAATGGTTTGCCCTGTGTTTCCCAGAATACATCATCTGCCCATTGTGCATCTACTCACACCAGTTGTTTCACCCATTTGTTAATTTGTTGAGTGTCAAAGGCAGGTCTAAAGTCCTGTTGTTGTCCATACGACTTCATGATTGCTCCTATTTCCCCCATCCACCATTGTTTCTAGGTTACTTCAACCATTTGTTTCTCCTGCACTCTGTCTCTTGAAAGACATCAAGCACGTTGATATTGAAACTTCAGTAGGTTCTCTTCTTCCAGTCTATTGTCACTAAGATCACAAAGTGGATGATGGTTGTTTTCCACCAAATCCTTAATAGAAGCAGTCACCACCACCAGTTTAAGTACAAAGCTCCAGTCCTGTCGATGTCCATATAACAAGTCTGCTCCTCTTGCCCCAAGTCAACCATTGCTTTCAACTGCTCCTGTCATTTATTCCCTGCGTTGAGTTCTTGTTCACTTACGAGAGTGATTTTCTTGTCAGTGTGAGAGCACACCAAAGTCAAGCTCAAGCCTGGGAGCAGTGTGTGGGGATAGTTCCATCCTCAAAGCACCTTAGTGGTAACTTGGCAGCTTGCGAATTCGAACCTAAAACCTTCCGGACCCAAGTTCGCCTCCATAACCACCCAGCCACCCTCTTCCCCTCCACGAATTCTTGTGCTTCTATTTCTTCATTTTCTTCATTGCATTCTTCATTCAATGCAGTTTCTTCCTGTCCAGTGCTCAGCAGCAAATGACGTTCAAAGCAGATGTGCTCAGCAGCAGCTGCTGCAAAATGTCAAAAGAATTAAGAAATAGTTAGTCTTTGTTTTTAAAAATGTTTAGTCTAAATTATGAATTTCCTTACTCACAATACTGAAACATCTGGAAGCCTCCATGGTGGTTGGATCTGGATGAGTTGTCATCCAAATGGTGACCAAATGTGGCACTCCATCGAAATTGCGACTAACGTGCCGCAACGCAAATGTGGGAAACGCAGGTCGCAAGACTGAAGTTTTATTAAATTGGATACGCGCAGGAGACTACGCGCAATACGTAAATTCGTCAAATACTTGAGGTTAAGGTTTAAATAAAAACTGCTGAGTGGCCACAAAAAGATGAGAGTTGACAGGCTGGTGGAACCAGCATGAGAAACCACAACTATGGCACATGCCCGTGAAAGAGACAGAAAGCTATGACATGTGACACTGCCTAATCGTACTTTTATCTTACTACTACTTTTACAGAAAGCTATGACATGTGACACTGCCGTCACCTAATCGTACTTTTATCCATCTGACATTGCTTCCACTTTAAGTTTGAAAAAGTCCTATCACTAAAAACAATTACATCCAGCCCTGATTCAACATCTGGCCCTGAACATTACTATCAAATGACCCATCAAACTGTGGAGGAGAGAAAGAGAGATAGGAAAATTAGATTTAACTGATCTGCAAAAGACAAGACATAAGACACTTACTCAAAACATTAAACAATGATCTGTGTTATGTATCTTGGTTTAGACTGAACAGTGGTGGCAATGTACATGGTTATACGCCATTTTAATGTTGGTGAAACATTAAGGAAAAACAGCAAGGAAAGGCATTGTGGCCGTGACAGGACAGACAGATCAGCACGGCGGCTGAGAAATGCGTATGGGCCCGCGGCCAAGGAAGACATTGACAAATGGGATCCTCTCGCTAGAGAGAACTTTCTTAACGCAACTAAAATGGCAACTATTCTACATGTCTATGCATGTGTTGTGTTGAATGTGTCATCCTTTTAGGGGAGCTGGAAAAAAAAGGGGTTATGGCACGGGGGCCAGGAGCAAACCCCACCCCGCACCCACACCACCCGAAATAAGGAAACAGCACTCACCTTTAATCCTATCCAAGAACCTACCTTTTTGGCCACAGGAACAAATGTAGGGTAAACTAAGTTATACTGATCTAGTGACGCTGATGTTCAAAAATAGTTTGTTTTTTTTTCTCTATGTGATGTGCAGATTACAGTTTTGTTGTTTGTTTTTTTTAAATCTGAATTACATAATTTGTTACGATGCACCACTTTTTGTTCAGCCCTTAACTGAATTGTGAGATGATCAACTGCACAATATCACAGAAGCATTGAAAAAGCACAGACACAACGTTTGGGTTCATTTTATTCCCCTGACTCTAAAGCTACGGGAGACAGATGCAGATGGCAAGAAAAAGGCAGCCATCTGGATAGAAAAATAAATCAAATATGGACTCACCCATTGTAGATTAACCTAAAAAGGAAACGTGTTAGTACAACAGCAACACAAGCTTCAGCTAAACCTATTTCTGTACAAACTGCTAAATCACAACCTATTCAAGCCACCACAAACACACACACAACCATACAAAGAGAGAGAGAGAGACAGGCACAGAGTCATACAAACCTTAACATCTACAGAAGTTACAGCTACAGAAGCTAAGCTAAATAATCAGGGCCAGAGAAAACCTTTATGCTAATTTTTCAATAATCAAAACATCTGAAGTTTGAAGTTGTGAAAAGGGAAGAAAAGAGGACAGGTGGCCGGGTTTGTAGGATTTACGAGAAAAAATACTACACAATGCAAGCAAGGCACGGCGGCCTCTGTTGTGGCACGAGACAGGTGGCCGGGTTTGTAGGATTTACAAGAAAAAATACTACACAATGCAAGGCACGGCAGCCTCTGTTGTGGCACGGCGGCCAAACACAGCAAACGGGGGCACGGCGGCCACCCATAAGTAAAAAAAGAAAACGATGTTCCCTACTGTGTTGAAGATCTTCATGATGATCAAACTGAAAAAAAAAAATAGAAAATACAGTTTTTAGGTCCAAAAGAAGTTAAAAAAAAAACTAAAACAGAAATACTTGAAAGTATTGTAATATTTATATAAACACGCACAACACTCGTGTGTGTTGTCTCACCTTGTATTGCGTGGACGTCAGGTCTTTTGATGGACGGCTTCGACCTTTTCTCCGAAGCAGTTGAATTTCTGTTGATTTAATAAAAGTTGAACTTAGGAAATGTATATTGATTTAAAGTGAATCTTTGTGACATGACACTAATCAAAACTATCACTTGGACATGAAGTTTAAGAAAAGGAAAAAAAAACTTGAAAACAAAGTCCATTGTATGGCAGCAGTTTTAATAAATAACTACTACATTCACTGGCCAGTTCATTAAGGACAAATCAAATAAAAGAATAACAATGGAACCATGAATATAATAATGAGTTTTTAAGGTTCATGTTATAGCTGCATTTTCGTTATTTTTTTGTAAGTCTTTCCTGTGTGAGGGGACGGGGGGCATACATAACTATATAATATATCAATCGAGTTACAATTATTATAATTATCACAGAATATATATAACACTACATATATACATGTTTGAGAAATTTGTACAAAAAATCCACTGTTTATAATATACGTTGTAATGTGTGTATGTATACATATATACAAACATATATATACATATATACACACATACATCTCCACTTGTTGGAAAACAAAACAAAAACTTTGATTTAAATAAGTGATACTATTAAAAGATCAGAAAGTTTAAATTGAATTTTTCCATATATTTTTTTTAATTAAAAATATCTACACACAGTGAACCTTTCAATGGCTGACAAAGTCAAACTGAATCAGGGCTCTGGCAAAACCTGCTTTAACCTTTAGTCAAAGGGTCCACGTGTTTAAGACGGAGAACGGTTTAAAATTAGAATGGAGAGCAGGCAGAAGATTGGAATATAGTTACTTAGTTAATAGGTTTAAAGGAGAGATGACTAGTGACAGCGGTGGTTACCATATTCGGGTGAAAGTGATCGTCATTGTGGAGCATTTTGTGAACCTATGCTTTACATTAGCTTCACTTTTAACATAATAGTTTAACATCTGGCAAATCGGTTTTACATCATCCTAATTGTATTTCATTATATTATATATAATATATATTGTTAATCATGTTTATTAATTATTATAATTATGTTCCGATACTTAATTATATAAACATCGCACACAAATTTCCCCAACTGTGAAGACGACATTTTGATTTCCAAACATTTTGATATTTTTCAAATAAAATGATGACTTTATTCAATACATTTTGTGAACTTAATTATGACTTCATTCAATACATTTTGTGAACTTAACCTCCTCCACTTCCTAATCCCCCTTCAATGCTGCCTTTCCTTACGCTGAAGAATTTTATTTCGAATTCGGACAACAATTACCTCCGATTTTGCGATCCGAATCCGAATCCAGCCGCCATTTTAGAACTCCTCCCGCGGTTAAAACTTCAAACGAAAGACCGCGGTTGAGTTCGGTCAATGTCGGAACAAACACTTTTTTGCCGCAAAATCACGTTTAAAACAACGTCACACATTCAGTGGAAGTAATTTGGGCCTTGTGTTTCCGCAGCCACCGCTGTGAGCGTCAGCTTCTCCTGCTGCCTGGCGTTTAGTGAGCGCAGCAGAACACAGGGGGTAAAGTAATGTTCGGTCATCAGTTAAGTACGAACACCTGCGACCAAACTGATCGCCATGATGATGACGATCAGGTGTGCTGTTCGCCTGCTACTTTTTTTTTTCTGTTTTTTTTAACCGTATTTATTTTTTTAATTTTATGAAAAAAAAATCCCTATTTGCGAGAATTAATTCCCAAAACATTACATTATGAGAAAAAGTTCGCAACTTTATGAGCATTGAGTGGCAACTTTAAAAGTCATACATTAGTGAGAATACATTCATACATTGATGAGTTCAAGGGAGGCAGAATGTTGTGGTTGTATAAATATGAAGCGTCTCTTTATTTGTCAAACCAACACCAAAGTATAACTTCACAAAATGCTCCACGTTTCTCCTTCTGATGCCGTTAAGATCAACGCTGTGTTTCTCTCTCGTCTGCCCCAAAACATCATCTAAATTTACGGCTTTAACGTCATAAATGTACGACTTTCCTATCACTGTGACTCAACTCTCATAAACGTATGACTTTAGTCCCATAAATATATGAGCTCATTCTCGTAAATGTACGCCTTTATTTTCGTAAATGTTTGACTCTATTCCCCATTACTTTTTTTTCTCTTTTATTTAGGAAATGAAACATATGTTTTATTCTCTGTTCGTCGTGTTATCCTTTGTTTGTGGTGAATATTTTCTACTTCTAAAATCATGTTAATCTAAACAAAAATGTTATAAGGTAATAAGTGTAGGAGCCGAGTATTGTATTACAGATCGATTATTTTAGTTTTGATTTGTTTGGTCTGGTCGTCACAGTGAAGTGACGTTTGGATCTCTGACTGGTGTATACGGAAGTGTTGCGGAGAGAGGCGAAACCTTTTTACGACCACACTGCATCTCAAGGGACTTGACATGAAAGTCCCAACAATAAGATTTAAGACTAATAATGGACTCAAGAACTTCGGAGCTATTGCTACCACCCGCCTCTAGGTGTAGGTGTTCCGTCCAATGACGCTGGGTCGTTAAAAAATAGTTTAGACACAGAACTTCGACACACGGTGGCAGCTACACGTATTGTTTACCCATATAATGAATAATAACTATTTAGCGAACACATCATGTTCATTCAGCAGCTACTGTATATCGATGGTTGTTCAGCAAATAAAAAAGGTCAAGTCAATAGTTGTACATTTTTTGGTATTTTTTATAAAGCGATTATTAAAAACAAAACAAAATGATATTGTTTTAATGTAACCAACTCTATTTTTGTTTCCCTGACATTGTGTAAGTCAAAAGGGTAAATGTTTAGGAAATATTAAGAAACACTCACTGAAGGCAGGTCATAAAAAGAGATCATCAGAGGTCGACTGAGGTGAACAGGAAGTTTTTATCCCAACTCTATTTTTGTTTCCCTGACATTGTGTAAATCAAAAGGGTAAATGTTTAGGAAATATTAAGAAACACTCACTGAAGGCAGGTCATAAAAAGAGATCATCAGAGGTCGACTGAGCTAACAACAACATGTAGATACAGTTGATTTTTCCACTTTATTTGT